TGTTCACAACAGCCAAGATATAGAAATAACCCAGATGCCCCATTACAGATGAATGGATCCAAAAATTGTGGTACCTATATACAATGGAATATTATGCAGCCATTAGAAATGACAAAATAATGGCATTTGCAGGGAAATGGATGGAACTAGAGCAAATCATTTTGAGCAAGGTAAGCCAAGGACAAAGAAACAAATGGCACATGGTCGCCCGGATATGTGGATGCTAAAGCCAAAATGCAAGGAGATATGGCAAAGTAAATAGGACTCAAAAAACAAAGGACTTCTACTCATTTTGTCATATCATTGCTAAATGACACCATGTTCTTGGCCCATATATGATATATATATTATATATATATATATACATATATATATATATGCACATCGGAGGAAAGCTAGGAGGAGGGCACAGAATCAGAGGGAAACGGGAAAACATACAACAGAGGGGCCCATCAACTGCACTGGACATTGATTAAAAAGAACTAAGCAACTCAAAAGCAGGGATGGGAGGGAGAGAATCAGAGGGAAAGAGGGAACAGCTTACACTAAGCAAAAGGAAAGAAATGTACTTATCACCTGATGTGGAAGAAATAGCTGTATTGTCAAAGCTCATAGAATTCACAAACTTTATAGACCATGATAATGGCAATTTGCCTTGTGAAGGTTAAAATGCATTTGTGACTTTAAGATCACTATTCCACAAAACTGTGAAATATGTGAAATTTATGCAATCACTAGTCTCAATTAAAAAATTGCTAAAAAAAAAGAAGCTGCTGACTGGGGTCAACTTTGCAGTGTAAAACTAGGTGTGTGCTCACTGTACGCATCTAGAGAACAACCTCACTCCATAGCTGAGATCCACAAGTGCATTGTAGTTTCTTTTCCACTTCCCACCTTGTCCCTACCAACCACAGGGCATCACTGAGTGCTCCGACACTCCACAGACACTGCAACCCTCTTTTTTTTTTTTTTTTTGTTTCATCCATGACCAGGCTGTGGCCCACACAAGAAAGACATGCAGCTCATCTGACTTCAAAGCTTGAACTCATTGCAATACTATCTAGCCTTTGTGCATAAGAATGTTTCAAAGTGACCAGAGGTCCATTAATGCTTAGTACCTGGGTGTCCAGACATTACACTATCTCATTTTTTAAAACATCGGAGCAATCTTAGGGGACAGTCTTTTCCGCCCTTGATTTTTTAGATGAGAGCACATAGGGTCACTGTGATAAGAGATGGACCAGTTACTCTGTCCTGGATCTGTGTCCACACAAGAAACAGAGCTGTCTTCCATGTCAGCAAGAAATATGAGACTTAAGCTCAAGCATGGGGCACTGAGAGGACCAGGCACATGGAACAAGGAAATGCCTTCCTCCTTAATTCCTCTAGATTTCATGAGCAAGTCTGGGAAACACAGACTCCTATCTGCTGTTTGCTACACAGTGTACAATACATAGTCTTCTCCATTGATGCAGGAAGGAAACTGGTTGCCTTTGAGCAGAAGCTTGTGAATAGACAACTACCACTTGACCTTGACCCCCACTCACAAGGAGGCTACCTCTCCATGAGAATCCACAGGTGTTGGGATGGAAGGAGTGCTCATTTGACAAAGCCAAACTTTCACTCATCCATTCAACAAAGATATCTATTGCTGCTACTCTGGATGATTCAGCCAGGCACTAAATATACAATAGTGGACACAAGTAACACCATAGTAGGCACAGAGAGGAAAACCCACTAGCCAAAGATCACAGCACAGGAGCCCTTCTGTATGCCAGGGCTTCCATCAGTTCATTCCAGTCCGGGCCCCTATTGAAGCTAAGTGAGTGCCCAAAGGGCTCACCAAGTCCTGGTTCCAAAGCAACTTTCTAATTAAACAGTCCAGAACATTGGCCTCACTTTCTCTTGAAAGTTTCAAGAGCACACAACTGGGTCTAAGCCGGTGAATGACGCAAGCTTACCGCATTTGAAATAAAGCAACACCTAGTCTTCCCTCATCTGACTCTTGAGAATAACGTTTTACTTTTAAAATCCTCAACAGAGGCTTCCAGAGAGGTGGTGTGACTTGCCCAGGGTCATATGGTTAGGAAATTCTAGGCCCCTGTGAACCTGAGACCTAGAGGTCAGTGCCTGGCAGGACCAGGAGCGTCAGAGGCCATGGCACCACCCAGGGAAAACCACCTCTCCTCTAGCTTCCTGGGGAAGCTGAAAGGGAGAGTGCGCGGCGCCGGCGCGGCTCACTGAGCTGGAGGAGAGGGTGGAGAGCTGTGGCGTCTGCAGGTAGAAACTGCAGGAAACCTTGGACGCTCTGCGTCTGGGCCGGGTGAGCAGCAGAGGCGCCGCCGCCGTTCATTCAGGCTCGGACCCAGTCAGGGACCCAGTCGCTGTCTCTCCAAAAAAAAAGTCTCCCAAACTTTTTCGCTTGTTGATTTAAATAATAACAATAAACAACAGCTGGAAACTTTTCGTAGAGGGGCTGGGAGGCGGACGTCGGGTTCTTCCTCAGACTAAAAAATTCGAAGGCTCTTACCTGCAGGAAACCCAGCAGCGGGCAAAGGCGCGTCCTTCTGGAGCGCTTCGCTTGGGCTCGGGACATTCACGGCCGCCTGCTCTGCAGCCCGGCTAGGCTCCGGCCCTGTGTTTTATACCACTATAGGCAATTAATATTGCATCAGCCGTATTTTAAATTTTCAAAACCCACAATATAATGTAATGGCATAAGGGCATTTATTATTAAAGGACACCCGATGGAGAGGGAGGTGGAGGAATCGCCGGGGCTGTGCGCAAGGAGGGGGCTGGGGGCTGAGGCCTGGGAAGCTGGGGGCTATCCACAACTTTGCTTTTGTGGTGGGTTGGAAGGGAGGGGAAGGATGCCCGCTCAACGAAGGAAAACCTGCTGGGCTCCGAATTTCAGGCCGAGATCTAAAGACTTAGAACTCTGAGGCCGTGCGCGCGTGGGAGATAGTGGAGCATTAATTTTTAAACCAGGTGTTTTTTTTTTTTTTTTTTTTTTTGCAGACCGCAATTAAAACAAAAAGTATTTATCGTTCCCGCTATTTAGAGGAAGCAGATACAGAGAAGAGAATTGGCATCTGTTAAGCACCTACTGTGTGCAAGACATTATTGTGCCATTTGCTTCCTATTTGTTCCTCCACAGAAAAGCTGAGGTCGACTACTCTGGATTACAATTTTCAAATGAGTTTTTGAAGAGACCGGAAAAGAGCCCCAACACAAGGTCCCAGAAACTACTTTTCTCCTTCTTTACTTCTATTCCATGTCTCTTCAGTATTCCGCTCGCTCAAAATGGTTTGTTTCCCATTCCCACTGTCAAACATCACCTTCCAGATACATCCACACAATCTTACCCTCTCCTGGTAATTACCATGCTAGAGAAATATTAGGCTTTCATTCTTATCCATCGATCTTCACCTGGAAGGCTAAGAAGTTAAGAAACTAGCTTTCAAGGTGGTTTAACCATGAAGTGATAGCATTGGGACTCCAACTTTACAATCAGAGTCAAGGCTGATAGTCCAGCACCTGAAGTGCTGGAAAAGGGCTTTGAAACCCTGAGTTCCCTAAAGGGACCACCAGATCTCCCAGGAGGAGATGCTTCAGAAAGAGACTGGAAACGAGAGAACGCTGGGATTGGGTGGGCAGGAAAAGAGCCCTTTTGGTTTCTCACTTCACGATCTTTCCCAAGACCAGTACCTTTTAAAAATCTGAGAAGGAAAACCACTGAGATTCAGGTTGAAAAATAAAGCATTTATTTTAGAAGTTAATTCAAGGGGTAGAGAGAGAGAGGGAGTAAAACTTAAAATTTTATTTGTGTCTGTCTTGAGAATGAAACCAAAGATCACACAGCAACACACAAACTATATGAAGCAACAACAACAAAAAAATAAATATGACTGGACTGGAATGATTGGTGATAAGGGTCCAGGCCAGTGGTCCTGCTTCGTTTCCTGTTCATAATTATGAGTGGACCTTCCACAGAGAGATGCTCAAGTAAGTAAAGGATATGAGGGGAAATGGATTTAAATAAATAACAGAGATCAACAGTGCTAACGAGAGCAGAAATAAAAGTGTAACGAGGTTGGACATGTTAGAAGGACTTGCATATGATTGGGAGAAGTTACGGTCGTTTTGGATGGCTGAGCTGGTACTCTGGCAAGAACAGCAAGATGAAGCTAGGAGGGTTTTTGGTTGGTCTGGTCTGGAACACTACCAGTCCTCAGCCCCACTACCACGTGGTAACTACCCCCTAAAACACCAGTGGGTCGTGAAAGGTGACCAAAGCTGGTACTGACCTCTGCTTGCAATTCCCAAAGAGATGCCAGCGTTTGCAGTGGCTAGAGTAGGCCCACCTCTTCCGGAGATCTGCTTACCACTAAGAGCTCAGAGCCCTCTTTTCTCCACACACTTTCTCTGAACCTAATCCATGCTACTTTATGAGAATGTATAGCAAACCAAAGAAAAAAGATGAATAGAGTTTGGGTGGAGAAGGGATTATAAGGCTATCCTTTGGAAACATACGTTTATTTTATATACTCTAATAAATCTCCAGTACATGTTTGCGTTCCGCTTAGATATACTAGACTTTATATTATTTATCGCTTCCTTTCCATCCTTAAACCCTTGCCTAACTGCGCTTAGCAGTGGCGCTTTCGCCCTAGGGTTAAGCAACTGGATCAATTCACTGCCCTCGGCCTTGGAGCTTCTGTCCGGGAGTCTCACAGTTGGGCGCGCAAGGGCGCGTTTCAGCACCACGGACAGCACAAATTTCCTCCAGGTCCGCCCTTGAATTTTTTCCTAGCGCCAAAACTTTTTTTTTTTTTCTTTAAGGATGGGTGGGGATGGGAATCGAAAGGGAAAACAAAAACAAAAACAAAGAGAGAGAAAGAGCAGGCCGGGAGGCAATTAGGCAGGCTAAAGGAGAAAGTCTGCGGCTTCGGGGAAGAGAGCCTGACCTGCCAAGGAAACCTCCTGGAGTTTCCTCCACCACCTTCCCTCCCATCGGAAGGGGGCGATGCGCTCTACCGGCTCTCCGGGCTCCCCGTCGCTGCGCCGGGCCGCAGTCAATGGACAGCCGAGTACTTCATTCGTTTCTGTTTCTGTCTCTGGTTACAGAACCAGACCCTCACCACGTTCTTTTTAAGGTCCAGTTTCTCAGCAATGGCTGCGATCTTCTCGGATGAAGGACGTGGCTGGATGGCGAAATAGGCCTCGAGTGAGCGCTTCTCCGGCGCGGCGATGGACGTGCGTTTGCGCTTTCGCTCGCTGCCGTTGAAGAGCTCGGGCTTGCTGTTCTTCTCTCGGTAGGCGGCCTCGGCCTCCTCCAGCCAGGCCTGCAGCACCGGCTTGAGCGCGATCATGTTGTTGTGCGAGAGCGTGAGAGACTCGAACCTGCAGATGGTGCTCTGGCTGAGCGAGCCCACGCCGGGGATCTTGAGGTTGGCCAGAGCCGCGCCCACATCCGCCTGGGTCACCCCCAACTTGATGCGCCGCTGTTTGAAGCGCTCGGCGAAGGCCTCCAGCTCGCGAGGGTCGGACTCCACGTCGCTGAGGCACGCGGGCATGGCGCTGTGCGGAGCCACGGAGGCGTGCGGGTGACTCATGCCCATGGCCTGGTGCAAGTGGCCCATGGCGCCTAGGTGATGCGGGTGGATCTGAGCGGGCATCACCGAGTGCTCCGGCGCTCCCAAGCCACTCACGCTCAGCGTGGGTGAGATGTGTTCCAGCAGGTCGCCTTCGAGGCCTTGGTGCACGGCGTGGTGCGGGTGCGAGGTGAGCGCGGCCGGGTGAGAGATAGGCACGGTGGACGAAGTGGACGTGCAGGGCACGCTGCTCATGGTATGGTAGGTGGCGTCGGGCTTGAATGGATGGTTCTTGCCGTGGGAGACGATATCCACCGCAGCCAGAGCTTCGGCGCGTGCCAGCAGGCTCTCATCAAAGCTTCCAAATATATTACCCTGCAGCTGCATGAGAGAAGGCGCACAGCACGGTCAGTGGGGAATACTGTCAACTCAGGATTAAAACACATTTTCAAGCAACCGAGATGCCTCTCCTCAAAGCCCAGGTCATAAAAATTAATACGGAAGGCAGCCGCTCTGCTGGAACAGACGTGTGGATCAGAGACATGAATGAGAACGAGCGCGCAGGGACAGAGCGCGGGGGAGACCAGAAGAGGGGGTTCAGACAGCGGCGATTGTTCTGTGCGACATGAAAAAAACATGAAGCTAGTGCCTGTCAAAAAAAAAAAAAATGTGCCTTAGAGCGGTAATTATGCTCCACTACGTACCTGCGGGGCTGGGAGACAGACTCGGCGCATGGCCTCTGAGCCGGAGTGCAGGCTGGAGAATTTGGGTTCTTGCAGCACCGGGTGCATGCCGAAAGGCTGCTTGGCGTTCATGGCCATCATCTTCGCGCGCCTGGCAGGGAGGCAGCGGGGGACATGGAATCAAGGCTCGTCTCGCTTGCTCTCCACGCTCCAAGTGAGCGCCGCTCAGTGCCCGCGCTCCCCTCGCCCTCTCGCTTGCTGCCTCCCCTCTCCCCCACCTGCTTCTTCACTCATCTTACAAGCAGCCTGCCAGGAAGGGCCCGAGCACGCGCAGGCGTGCACACGCGCCCCGGACTCGCAGGGGCGGCCGGGGAGGCACCAAGACACAGCCGCTTGCCGCGCGCGCTCTCCTCTGAGCCAGTGGCGGCCGCCCCCTCCGCAGCATTTATACCCAGGCCTGGCCGGGCCACTTCCTGTCCGCCCCGCCCCGCCTGGCTCCAGCCTTGCTAGACTTTTACCGATTCTTTCGTTTTCGTCCTAGACATCTCCCTCCCCCCACCCAAGTCTCAAACTTCCTCTTGGACTTCCCTCTCCCTCCCCCCCCCCACTTCAAAGTCAAACCTCTACGTCGTCCCAACTACTTGGATCCCAGGGCAACTTTGAGCTGAGAGAGGATCAGAAGCTGACCCTATCCGGACCCTCTCCTCCCCCATTTGATTCTATCCTCGCCCGCCCCCATTCTCCCTTGGCCTGGCTGCCGCCAAACTGTCCATTTCCAGGGCGCTCCTGGCCCCACGCCGGGGCTGTCCACCAGAGCTCAGCACCGCAGCAGAGAAGAGGCGCCTCTACCAGCCTAGGCAAGAGCTTGGGACGGCTAGAACGAGCCCCGGGGGGCGCGCGCGCGCGCGCGCGCACACACACACACACACACACACACACACACACACACACACACACACACGATCTGCCTGGGCCAGAGGCCCTGGAGGCCGGCGGCTTCCTCCCACCCTTGATTTGCTTGCTTTCATCTGAGAAAGACAACTTGGCCCACTCTTCCATGCTGAGCGCCTCCAGTCTAAGAAAGCTGGCTGCGTTGTCTTTACAGGAGTCGCAGTCCAGATCGGCCTCTTGGGGCCTCCTAATTCGCCTCGGGCACTTCTTCTGGGCCACCGAAGCATAGAAGCCCCATTTCCCGCCCCTCATCCCCCCTCCCTCCCCCGACCCGGGACAGAGCTGTCATTTATCCAAGCCACTAATCCCGGCAAGTTATGGAGTTCGTTTTCGGGATCCTCACCCCAATCCTACACAGACGAGGGAAGTAAAGATCAGCGGTCTTTGCATCCACAGATATTTACTGCGCCCCAGGGGCGTACCCTGAGTCACGGTGACTCCTTTGGCCACTTGGCCTTCGGGTCTTCCTCAACTTTCGGAGGGTCCCGGAGTTGGTGCTGCCCTGCTCCCTGTGTCAATTCCCCACTTGTTCCCCGCCCCCTTCTTTTCACTCCTTCTCCCCCTCCCCCCCAGCTAGTAAACATCGTAAATAATGGATGGGGAATCCTGAGTCTGTGGCCGCCGGGGCGCACCGCCCTCGAGGCTGGAAGAGAACCCCCCACCCCCACCCCCAGCCCCACCCCCGCGCCTAGCTGCGGTGTAGCAGCCACAGCAGGCCGGCTGGCTGTCGCCCTCTGGCCCAAGGAGCCATCTCCGGGCTTTAGAGCAGTCACCATGCCGGGAGAGTGTGTGCTGGGTTTCCCAGAAGCTTAATAGGGTGCAGGCGCAGTGGTGGAGGACCGGAGCCTAAGGACAGACGCTGGGGCCTGACAGGACGTCCTGTGAGAACCGCCTCTCTCATTTCTTTCCTGGAGACCCGCCACTCCCACGTCTACCCCATCTGGTGGCATCCATGGGCTGGAGCCCGGGGAGAGTGAGAAAGGATTTGGTCTAGGTGAAGAAGGCCAAGTACAGAGTTCAATCTTCGTGAGAGCATCACACACACACACACACACACACACACACACACACACACGCGCGCGCGCGCGGTTGTAAAAAGAGAATTAGGCTGGGTCGCCTTCCCAGGGTTCTGGGCAACTGGACAAGGTGTTTTGAGTTATGGTAGTAATGAAAGTACTGAGCACCAAATTAATGCTCATTAACCAAATGACTTGCCTCGTTCAAAATGCATCTGTGCATCCGCTGGCTGGGGTGCCACGAGACAGTCATCTGCACACCTCTGTGTGTCCCGGGATCGAAAATGGCGCTAATATTCACCCACCTATTCCCCAACGAGAGTAACACACTGAGATAAGCACTTGGCTCTGAGCCTAGCACATTGAATCCGTGGAATAAATACATAAATGTTGGTTTCTTTCTCCATCCTCGACCAAAAGAGAACGCATTTGGGACTTCTCTTGGAAAATGGTTTGTCCCTAGGTGCAAGTGGTGTTCCCTTTCTCTCCATCTCCGGGATCTACATCCCAAAGGCTAGGGTAAGATGTGGGTTAACTGCATCCCTGCCTCCAAGGAGCCACTAGTCTAAAATTGAGAGCAGGAAATTGTCTGGAAGACTAGCAAGGCTGTAAAGGTTAGGGAGCAAGACTCAGAGCAAGGGTGTTTAAGATCTATGATAGGGGGGCTGGAAGGTGGCTCAGTGGTAGAGCGCTTGCCTTGCATGCATGAGGCCCTGGGTTCGATTCCCCAGCACCACATAAGCAAAAAGAAAAAAGCTGGAAGTGGTGCTGTGGCTCAAGTGGTAGAGCACTCGCCTTGAGTTGAAGAGCTGAGGGACAGTGCCCAGGCCCAGAGTTCAGGCCCCACGACCGGACCAAAAAAAAAAAAGATCTATGATAGGTAAAACACCTCCCCTCCCCAGAATAATGGGTCTCAAGAGGCTGTATTCTGACACTGTTAATGTGACCTTCGTGGGGCCTATTTACCACAAAAAGAACACTAAACTAGATGATTGCTAAGTGTTTCCAGCTTTAACAAAAAGGGATGGGCTAAGGGCATGACTAACGTGGTAGAGCCCTTGAGTTCAAACCCACTACTACCCACTCCACCCCACCCACCCCTCCCCCCCAAAAAAACCCAACTGGCATTCTGGTTCATTTGAAACACATTTTGAGCAGGAGTTTCTGTCCAGGACGCTTCCACTTCTCAGAAACCAAATACAGCATTATTTTATCACTCACTAGCATTTTAAGAGCATTCAGAATTGTTTTCTGCCCAATGATAAAAGCCCACAAGAAGGTGAATGAGAGTAAGGATACTAGATCTGTATCTCACCTGGTGCCTTGGTCCCTAAGACCACCAACCACTCCATAATGCCTTAATGATCTGTGGAGCTGAGCATTCAGAAAGGCCCATCCACATCTATCTTCTTATTCTTCTTTTTCCCCCAGGGGCCTGGAAGATGCTGGCCAGGGTCAAGGTCAGCTCAAGTCAGAGATAGAGCCAAGTCAATTGACCCCATCCCTATCCTTCATACTTCCAAAGCCCACTTTACCTCACCACCTCCCTTTCCAGATCTCTTGGACATTAGGGTCACAAATCAGAAAACACCTTCCCATCCTTTCATTCCCACAGTCTGCTAGCAGCTCTATGCAGCCAGCAGTAAGTGGACACATCCATCATTATGAGCCAGCCTGTGTGTGTGTGTACCATTCTAAATATTTTGTGTCACATTTTGAAATTAACACTCTATATAATACTCCAGTCAAAATAGTTGGAAATGCACATGGGAAGGGAATAGAAATGTTTTTCTTAAGCTGGTAGAGTTTCACCTTGCTTTAATTTGTCATCAGGAAGAAAGTTAAGTTACTGGTCCTGGGCAGCCTGGGTTATAGAATAAGACTCTCTGTTTGTTTTGGTTTATAAAGGTAAATTACCGAAAATATATGTTGAAGAATTAATCTTTCATAATAGAATCCTTGATTTTTAGAGGAAAAAATCCTGTGTAAACATAAACCTACTCACAGAGATAGAAGTGAAACTAAGTACTAAAATATTACTTTGAGGGGCTGGGAAGGTGGCTCAGTGGTAGAGCGCTTGTCTTGCATGCATGAGGCCCTGGGTTCGATTCCTCAGGACCACATAAGCAAAAAGAAAAAAGCCGGAAGTGGCGCTGTGGCTCAAGTGGTAGAGCACTAGCCTTGAGCTGAAGAGCTGAGGGACAGCGCCCAGGCCCAGAGTTCAGGCCCCACAACCAGACCCAAAAAATAAAAAAATAAAATATTACTTTGAAGAAAAAGAGTAGGAACACTTTACAAATTTTATGGTCATGACTTAATCTTACTTCTTGGAGGAACTTTGTGATGTTAGCCTCCTCCTTCAAAAATTTTCTGGCCACATTATAGGACCAGCCTTGTTGAGAGGCCCTGGAGAGAGCAGACAGGCAGACAGAGATGGCACAAAATGCAATTGGAAGGAACCATACAAGATAGCCAGTGACATCCTTGGCATTGTCCAGGATTTTACACACTGAAATTTAATTAGAGGCAAGCGTGGCAAAATATATTAGTAACTCTAGTTGGGTACATAAAGGAAGATTGGAATGTGGGTAAACTAGATAGTACAGATGCACTCTGTGGCATTAGGTCACAATTAGAACACACACACACCACATCATATCATACCACATCACATAAAACCACACAACACAATTTGTTTCAGAGACCAGATCTCATGGACATTTCTACATGAAGTACTATGAAGATCCTTTTCGCTCTCCAAGCATATTAGAATCCCTTCTGACAGCTAGTGTGACAGGTACTGCAAGTATAGAGGATGCTGTTTCAGGAGCTCAGAGTTCAGTGTGGACATAGAATTTCCATGTGAAACCCTAAAGCAGAGCACAAAGCACGGTCTTCCAGGACTAGCTTATGGAGATGCAAAGAGGGTAAGATAGGTCATTTTCCTGTGAGCCAGTGGCTACAAGTTTTTTCTTCCTTCCTTTCCTTTCCTTTCTCTTTCCTTCCTTCTTCTTTCTTTCTCTCGCTCTCTTTCTTTTTTTTTAAAGCAGGATCTTGTTGTATTGCCCAACTTGGCCTTAAACTTGTGATTCTCAGGCTGTGAAGGTGTCTCAGTGGTAGAGTGCTTGCCTTGCATTCATGAGGCCCTGGGTTCGATTCCTCAGCACCACATAAGCAGAAAAAGCCAGAAGTGGCGCTGTGGCTTTTGTGACAGACCA